GTGTCTTCAGAGGCAGTGTACTAACGTTTGCGCTATGAGGCCAGTAAGAACTGGTTAAAGACACATGTCAAAGTCTTCAGGGAAAACACGTATTTTTAAAAATCCTCTAAAAGGGCATACTGCTTTTTTGTATTCACTTATGCAATTACTATTTAGTGCCGTAGGGTGCCATAGGGTGAGCCTATCTAAATTCAGTTGAAAATGTAAAAGGATGCCTGTAGAAAACAAGTTTTTTCTCTCTGCTCTCACAAAACACTTCTGACATCAGATGTGAAGGAGGGTTCGCCCCACATCAGGCAGTTCTCCAGTAGACACCGCCTGGGTCTCCTGTAATTTAGTTCTGACACTGTCTCTACCCATAAGCAGACCCCACATGTTGAGGGCTCAGTCCCACAAGGCTGCCCCGACTTCAGATGCCAGCCCCAGTAGCAGGTTGTCATCCACAAGTCTTGTCAACCAGCTATAAATAGGGAGTTCCAGAAATTCCCTCCTCAGGTTCAATTAATTTACTGAGTGGTTCACACAACTCAGGGAAACACAAAGGCTACTACAAGACTAGACAAAGAGCTGTGCATACAGTGAGCTATGGAGGAAGGGGTGCCGAGTTTCCGTGCCCTCTGTGGGCTGCCCTCCAGGAACCCCCACGTATTCAGCAACTAGAAAGCTCTGAGAACCCTGTTCCCACTGGGGTTTTATGGAGGCGTAACCAGTCATAATTGATTACATCACTGGCCACTGGTGATTGACTCAAACTTCAGCCACTCTCCCCTCTCCTGAGATGGGGGGAGGGTGGGGCTGAAGGTTCCAACCCTCTAATCACATGATTGGTTCCCCTGGCAAATAGCCCCCATCCCAAGGCTACCCAGGACCTCACTAAGGGTGGCCTCATTACAACAAAAGATGCTCCTATCACCTAGAAAATAACAAAGGTTTTAGGAGCTCTGTGTCAGGAATCCGGGTCAAAGACCAAATATCAGAACAAAAGATTCCCCTATACCCCTGTCTCCAAGGGCTTTAGGAACCTGGGGCAGAGACCAAATGCTGTCTCTCATTATAACACAACATCACACCTTGTTACCCTGATTATTGTGCCAATCCTTCAGCTAACTTTCTGGAGAGAATCTGCCCTCATCACGTTAAGGCGCATCTGGTGTGTACCTGGGCTGATCAGACGGGGCTGCCAGGCCAGGGGATCTGGCGGTTCACTCATGGCCTCCGTGCTGCCCAGGGCACCAACAACAGCACAACACATAGAAGGAAGGGTGTAAGAGTTCTCATACCAGGACCTTATTTTTCTTTCGTGACAAATTTTTTTTTTTTTTTGGCAGATGGCCAGTAGGGGGATCAGAATCCTTGACTTCGGTGTTACAACCCCATGCTCTGACTGAGCTTCATGACGAATTCCTTATAAAGAAAATATTTTACAATATCCTAAAGACATAAATTATACCTCTGAAGAATAATATTTCCCAGAGCAGTACTTTTCAACCCCTTTTATTTTTAACCCAAACACACCTCTAACCCCTCTGAGAACCAGTAACACACGAGTCATCTCTCCCCACTCTATCCCAGCTCCACTGGTCGAGGTTTCCTTGTATTTTTCTGTAGTTCTTCTATACTGTGTATTACAAAATAATCAAACAACTATGGAAGGATATTTGTTTCCTCCAAATGTTGAAACTATAATTCAAAGTGGGCTTCAGAATCACCACCTTGGAAAGAGCTGTGTCAGGAGCAGGCATTTTAACCTAATTAATTCCTGACTCAGAAAATTTTCCATCTTCAATATGATAGTTTAGGAATCCTCATGATATCCATATGTAAACGCTAAATAAATGATGACTGAGGACAAACAACATATAGAACTAGTTGATGAGTCTCAAATTTGAGATGCTTTTTATTATAAAATTAATCGAAAATACAGCAACAAATACAATAGTTTGTTCAACTTAGAATCCAGATACATGTAAAACAATACAAAAGTTGGTGACTAGTCAAACACCTCAAGTTCACATTTAACACTTTCAATTATTTTTAATTATACTCATTCTGTTTAATTAATCGAAAATACAGCAACAAATACAATAGTTTGTTCAACTTAGAATCCAGATACATGTAAAACAATACAAAAGTTGGTGACTATTCAAACACCTCAAGTTCACATTTAACACTTTCAATTATTTTTAATTATACTCATTCTGTTTAAAAGAATGTTTTCTTTACATCAAACCATGATCGGTGTTTAGTCTCACTGGTACCCTAAATAAAATTATATATAAGGACTGACTAGTTAAGGTTTAAAATACGCTTTAAGTTGTTCTGTAGCTCAAGATTGGACACATGATGTTAAATAATCCATGATGCATATTCTTTCTTAAAAAGAAAAAAAAAATTAATGCCGAGGGTTTAAAAAATGTATTTTCTGAGGCAGATGAAGTATATTCACTCTCACCCTGGACCAAAGAATGTGGCAAGATTTGTGGCTTATGAAGGAAAACCATAAACATGATGTTTATATAAAATCTTTTCATTTGATCACACTTTTATCTGTAAAAAAAAAAAATCCTCACATTCCTCAGTATAAGTAGATGTTTATTAATTAAAAAAAGAAAAAAAGTGAGATTGTGTGGCTTGTGGGAATGAAGTGATAATACTTGTTTAAGAAACTGGGATGCCAACCAACATGTGTGTAGTCTCCATTTGTGTGTTCTTGTAAAAGAGGAAACACAGCTACAGGGTTCACAGAGAGACCTTTAATCATGAGAAGCAACAAACTTAAAATTTGCATTTCTCCTCCAGGAGGGCCCAGCGTGCCAGGAGATAAACACAGGAAGGCACTTACCTAGTTCACTGGGGCAGAAGGAAAGAAGAAACCAATCCAGGCAACATGCATGTTTTAGGAAAGTCAGACACTTTACAGCAACTTAGAATTCTGCCTATTCTCAGTGCACTTCCAGACAGTTACTGACACAACAGTCTAATGAACTGTCCTTGGACCTCAGAAATGTCAGGCCCTCCCGCTGGTGGGCACTCCGTTTGCTCTTGATCGCTGACGGTCGTATTTCACAGAAACAATAAGGAAAAGCAGGAGGGTAGCTCCTTGAATAGCAGCAAGAAGGAAAAAGTAGTAGTTCAAATAGCAGCCATTAATATTACCTAGAGAAAATGAAAAGAGGCATGTAAGCTGCATGTCTAGAGATATTTTTAAAGCTTTTACTATTTAATTTGGTTCCTGCTAAGGTCAGGGTGACTTAACTGTGATGATAAAACAATAATCACACCTCTGTAATTCTAAATACACAAGTATTGTGTTCTCAAAAGCATCAGAGAGGCAAGTCACCCAAGGTCAGCTTGTCTCCACCAGGCTCTAGATTCGGGCTGCACACAGTGAGCCCTGCCCCTCCTGCTCCACAGCCCCGTGCTCAGGAAGACCTACACCTGGGGCTGCGGAGGAGTGGTGCAAAGTGTGAGACACAGGTGGCATGCCCACCTTGGAGAGACAGCGACAAGAGAAAAAGTGTGAAGTCGCCTTTAGTCTGTTCACCACCCCCACCAACAGAAAATATGGGGAGAGTAAAGAAGTCACCTTACTGTGTTCTTGCCACCAGCAGCAAGTGCTGGACGGTATGGTATGGTGTATTTCCTTCCTGTCTTTTTCCATGCAATGTTTTCCCCCTTGACTAGCATCAGGGAATTTCCTATATTTACAGTGATGCCCGTGTGGAGCTTGTGTTTTTGAGAAAGGCAAGCATGAAGATAACAAAAAGAGCACCTGACTGCATCCGTATCAAATCCTAAAGTGGATACTCTTTATAATGTGGCAATGGAATCTGTACACTTTTCAACAGCACGGCGGCACAATAATACGGCCTGAAAACCATGAGTTCAGTTCACTACGTAGTTCACTGACATGAAACAGCACACTCCAATGTACCCTCCACAAGCCAGGGTGGACAGCTGGAAAATGTATTCCATGCATTATAGGAAGACAGGAGTTTGGTTTTTTCATTTTTCCAAGACATTTTCAGGCTTTAGCATCTGCAAATTGACACAGACTTGACATATCTGCATATGTTAATACTAATGTTAACTAACACATACCAATACTCAAATTTGTGCCAAGCACTACTGAGGCATTTTATATGCAATGTTTTGTTCAACTCCCAATAAACCCCAAGGAGGCTGCAGAGTGTAGAGGTTCAGGTCATGGACTGTGGAGCTCACTAACAAGGTTAAAATCCAAGTTGCCTGCCCTCTCTGTGCTCAGTTTCCTCATCTGTAAAATGGGAAAAACACTACCCTACCAGAGAGTGTTATCACAGGAGTAAAGGTCCAGGTAAAGTACCTAATAAAGACTTTATTGTTATGTGCCACTGTGATAATCTCCATGTTACACAAAGGTCCAGAACCATCGATCCTGTAGTAGGTCTTTCCAACGGGGAAGAGAGTTTTGAAAGCACCAGCTGATACTACCACTCAGTGTGTAGACGCGTGCATGATGTGTGTAGAAAAAGGCATGCCTAACCATGTAGGACACGTTGAGAGCCAGCTCAAGCACGTCACAAAGACTTATTTCTGCTTCCACAACTGTGCCACCTCTGTCCCCACACGCCCACAGACTTAGAACCATTTACACCATCTGACACCCACTGAAAAGCATCTCAGACACATTTCTAAACAGATGTATTTGGTCGGCAATGTCACTAGAGGAATCTGATCTTTTAAAATGAAAGTTGCTGTGCTTTCTGACATGCTTCAAAAGCACATTCTAATTTGTTTGTTTAAAAAAGTGAAACTTCCTTTCTCTTCCTATCTGAGCATACACTCATTAATATTAGATAAACATGTAACAATGCACTTATCAAATAAACACAATTAATGAATAGGTATAGTATGCATGTTTGTATATAAGCACTCATATTTTTAAAGAATTCATTCATAGACGTTACAGAAGATAATAATTTCCTATGTCTATTGATTTGGGAAGAGACCTGCTAATACCTTGAATTTCTATAAGAATAAGATTTTATTTTTTCAACAGGTATTTCAAAATACTGCTTTAGCCCTTACTACTTATCAGGCTCTGTCCTGGGTACTTGGTGACACAGAGAACCTGGTGCTAGCCGTCACCACCATACAGAATTAGCACCTGAGGACAAGACTGTCATCAAAATATCACATCATTTTATGTGCCAGTTTTGAAATATGCATGTCCACAAATTAAAGTCATAGAAAACTTCCAAAGCTTAGAGCTGTCAGGCCAAGTGGACTGTACACTGTGCTAGCCTGTGCAGAGCCAGCGGACAGACATGCATGCCGCGCTGTCTCAGGATCAATCTCAGTGTGGGATTCTGTAGCGTGTTCAGAGAGACACCCCTCATCTAAGCAGCAACCCCCCTGTGATTTCTGGGGCCTCTTTACTGCGCTGTCTCAGGATCAATCTCAGTGTGGGATTCTGTAGCATGTTCAGAGAGACACCCCTCATCTAAGCAGCAACCCCCCTGTGATTTCTGGGGCCTCTTTACAGACAGAAGAATAATAAAGACAGCAAACACTGGGGCTTTAATGTTTGAAAAGACGGACTCCCGGACCTCAGAAAATGAGTGTATCTGTCCACCAACATTCAAGTTCAACCATGTTCACAGCAGCTTTATGCACAATAGCCCATGCTGGCAGCATCCCAAACATCCATCAAGAGCAGAATGGACACATCAATCCTGACATACTTGTACGATGGAGCACTACTCAGAAATAATAAAGAACAAATTACTAGGGAGGACTCTCACTGACATAAGTGCTGTGCGAAAGAAGACAGTCCAAAAGGGCACAATAACAGGCAAAAGTGATCTGTGGTGACCGACAATGGAACAGCATTTATCTTCCTTGAGGAGATGGAATTAACTAAAAAAAGACATAAGGAAGGCTTCCAAAATATTCTGCATTTTAATCTGCACTAAAACCATATCAAGCTGCACACTTAAGATTAGTGCACGTTATAGTATGAAAGTTATTCCCAATTTAAATAATAATAATAGAGAAAAGAAAAAGCCTGCAGGGAGGACAGGTAGAGAAGGAAACAATGCAACAAAAATTTGGGAAAGTTTTCCCTAAAGCTATTGCCCTGTAACCATATAGAAAGTGACTTCCTGTGTCCAATGTGACATGCTAAGCCCGCTGTAGCACAGCCTGCTTCGTCACGCATGTGAATGCTGATGCGATGAGGAAGTGCAAGGAATATGGTACCGGCACTGATGCTCCTCCCACACAGGTAAGCATGAGGAGGTCCCATTTCATCCTATTCTCTCCCCAAATCAACACCACTGACAGCCATTCGCCCCAAGTAAGGTGAGGCACAGGTGTCTGTGTCCTTGGTGTTGGTTCCCACATCACAGGACACCAAGGCTGTGCAACAGAAGGACCTCAAATGCTCCTTGTTGATGCAAAAACAAGAAGCTATTGTACATGACTAGAGTGTATAGTTTGGGGGCTGTTTACGAATATACTGCAAAACAACATGAAAACAACAACAAATAGAATCCAGGCCCGATGTACAAATACTAGAGACGAACTGCACAATGTAAAGTTTACAGAGAACCTGCCAGAAATAAATGATGAATGACATGTAAACTTTGGGATATTATGTTAAATTAATAATGAGAGAAATAAGTTACTGGGAAACAAAGACAAAAAAGTCAATCCTTTATACACATTAAAAGATAAATAAAGAACCAGAACCTATGTCTTGAGGACTATAGAGTTTAGGTCCCTATAATGAGTCTTTCTTTGAAAGATGTCTGTTTTGTGTGGCACCTGGAACCTAGGAGAGTTCTAGCACCTCGCTGTGCAAGTGGAAATCACTCCAGAGGTGGTTTATCCTCCTAGAGGCTAAGAATAAACATGAAAGCCCCAGATCTGCCTCCTCTCTTCAGAACCAGTCCCAGGCCTTCCACGGAGCAGCTCCTCATCTGGAAAACATCAGTGACAAGTACCCGTGGGGACAGTGGTGGCTTGGGTTTCTGGATAGTACATTAGGACTCCACAGGAATTTTAACTCAATCATGGAAGGTCTTTGTGAATTCTGCAGTTTCTACAGAAAAGTCCCTAAACTTTCATCAGATATTCAAGGGGATTATAACCTAAAAGTAGCTAAGTACTACTGAACCGGAGGAAGGCTTCATGATTATACAAGAAAAAGTAATAAGGTTGGTTTCACAGACAAAGCACACACACAAAATAGAAAAGAAACCTTCATCTCCTGCGTCCTCTTAAAAGCTATCATAAATCTGGAGAAGGCAAAACTCTGATCTTTGGTGAGTGATTTTGTTCAATGCCCAAGATGCCATCTACTGGCATCGATTGCAAAATCCCATCATGACTGATCATGAGTAATATCTATTTAAAAAAGCAACCTACTCTCTATTCCTACCTTTTAATATCGGAAAACTAAAAGGTTCTATTAGGAAAAGAAAAAGAAAATACAAAACTAAATTAAATAAAGGGAAATTTGTGATACAGATTGCATTTGCCTCGTAAAAACAGTGCTAGACATTAAGGTACAGAAGGCAATCTATTAATTAAGAATATTTCAAGTAAATAACAATCAGTGCAGCAGCTGCTTACCAGGGTGTAGCTGGGATAGATCTAGACACCAGGATTTGAACACTTACTTGTCTCTCAAGAGACTTTTAATGACGTGAGTAGATAAAATAACGTTAAGTGGTCCTACGTAGGACAAGTAACAGTGCGCATGTAGCTCTTCACTCATTTGCAAATCTCCCACAGTGGCCTTGAGTGCACGTGGCTTTCCATCACTTATTTTCAGTAAGACAGGATGCTGGCTCTTACCAAAATCTGTGTGATTGCTCATCCACCCGATGGCTTTGACCGACACCAGTGCCAACAGTCCTGAGCCCACGAATGACCCAACACCAGAGAAGAAGAAGAACAAGCCCATGATGACGCTCTGCATGGACTTGGGGGCAGCTGAGTATGCAAATTCTAGACCTATGGAAAGAAAAGGGAGGGTGGTTTTTGTGAAAGGTGCACCCTGGTACATCACATCAATGCTCTTGCCGCATACGAGAGAATAAGCACAGGTTAAATTTAGGGATTAAGAGCTTCCAGCAGGCACTGTCCTTTCCCTATTGTAAAGACAGTACTTACTCAAGCTCAAGAAATTAATGGCCACAAGCTACTTGCTTATTCTCCTATCCACTACGACAACTCTTAAAAAAAAGTTAACTCCTAGTTCTCCACAATTAAAGGTAACTAACTCCTATTTCTCAAACTTAAAGGTAACATTTGATTTGTCAGCTTGGAATTTTTTGTTCCTTATATAAAGAAACAGGTTAAAGAAATAAAATTTTCCTATATTCTCAAGTAATTGGAGTTTGAAAACAAAGCACATACACTAACACTAAAATGGGAACTCTACTTAAGAATTCTATTTCAAAGGCAATATATTTTAAAACAATTTCAGCAGGTCCATCTATAAATTTAGATTTTTATAATAACTAGACGTGGAGATTTGCAATGCATTCTAAACGAAACACCATTCTGCTGTGATTTATTCCCTTCACAAATTCATTAGTCAGTTCTGCATGAATTTTCTGAGAGGGGAAGAGAGGTGAAAACCACCAGATTTTTATAATAACTAGACGTGGAGATTTGCAATGCATTCTAAACGAAACACCATTCTGCTGTGATTTATTCCCTTTACAAATTCATTAGTCAGTTCTGCATGAATTTTCTGAGAGGGGAAGAGAGGTGAAAACCACCNGATTTTTATAATAACTAGACGTGGAGATTTGCAATGCATTCTAAACGAAACACCATTCTGCTGTGATTTATTCCCTTTACAAATTCATTAGTCAGTTCTGCATGAATTTTCTGAGAGGGGAAGAGAGGTGAAAACCACCACCTTCTGCTACCCACACAATACATCCAGCCTCTGAATATCACTAATTTCCTCTTTTCTCCTGCTTCAAGCAGACAGAAACAGATCTGCCCAGAATATACTTGTCTTTACCACCAGAATCTCACTAATGCGGAAGGAGAGGCCTGTGAGAACATGTTTTTAAAAATTAGATTTGCTTCTTTACATAAATCTAAACTAACAACACTAAGAGCTGTGAGCTGTGATTTATGTCCTCAGGGTTGGCTACCACAGGATCACTGCAAAGGGCTTTGTTAGGAAGCCCCAGACCTAGCACAAACTGTTCAATAGCGATTTTCTTTCTTTTTCTCTCTCCTATGGCACCTATAAGGTAAGATAATTAATACATTTTTATGAAATTATTTTTGGGAATACTGTTTTTACATCAAGAAAAGAGAAACTCTACCATAGTATTAATATTTATACCAGAATTCCCTGCCAGAAAATATGCAAGTACTATGTTATTTTTGTCAACATATTCTAACAGTACAACAAAAACATCGTAGTAGCTCTTATTATTTTGTGACTAAATTCAGACACTCCTGACACTAAGGAAGTCTTACCTGATATACTTGCAAATATTTCACTGATCCCAATCAGCACATACTGTGGCACCTGCCACCATAACGGCAAATCAGCTGCATGGTAAAGGACATTGCCAATGGTCTGATTAATGGTTTTCTCCTTAACAAGGTCCAGCCTTTTACTTTCCAGAATTCCTAGAAGTCATAAGTGGGTTAATATAGCATTTCTTTATTAACATCTGCAATTAAACTAAAAAGTATATGGTTGCTTTAAGATGTTTATTGGTGATTCCGAAAAGCGTATAAAAGAATAATGCCCAATTAAACCCACCCATAGAAACCCAAGAGAGCTAAGGAATCCCCCAGCTTTTCAGCTTCCTAAGTGGGTTAAGTAGAGGTAATATCACACAACCCCTACATTTCATTTATTTAACTTAATCCTCAAATGCCTACACTGCTCACTATACTACTTTTGTTTCTTTTAAAAAGAGAAGTAGGAAAAAGCTAAATAATTTTAAAATTATTAAAAATAGAATAATGCTATTTTACTTAGCAGTAGGTAATAAATTTTGAAATGTTTTTCCCAAAGTGATGGATTGAAGGTAATCCATTTATTTATTATATTACAACTAATAATAATAATGTTAGTTTCTGTGCATGGGGGCGGTTTAAACTTTGCAAGAAAGTATGCTGAACTTCACAAATCAACTTCTGCTCTCAGCAGCACTGTGCTCTTACTGCAGAATGTAATTACTGGTAGTTTGTCAAGTGCAACAGAAAGACATGGGGAAAACATGCAAGAGCAGAAACAGCTACTCTCTGGAAAACAAAAAATAAATCCATCAAGATAAAGTTTAAGACATCAATTTGTAGAATCAAGTCCTTGGGTTAAACAGACCACCAGGTTTTGTTTTTAAGAACTCATATTCCTTATAGACTCTAATATTTAATGTATATATTAAAACATTTATTTTAAGACATGAGTATGAGGAAGAACAAGACTCTGACAAGAGGGCAATGCAATGAATATACTGGAAATACTCCTCCTGAAGCCTGAGTATGAGAAAGGACCAGAATATAACAGCATGATGAGAAGATAAACTCTAGAATCTGTGCCCCAGCCCTACCTCAACTGAAAAGTCCAAAGAGAAAACACTCTCAAAGAGCAAAGTAGAGAGAGACCTCCCAGCCATCCACAGCTCCCTTCCATCAGTAAAACCTGTGACTCCTCACTGGAAGGCAGGAGAGGAGATCTCAATGCTCATCCCCCGTCCTCCAATGCAGAAATGCAAACTCAGCCCCAGGGGTGGACGGCACACTATTTAGAACTTTAAGTTGCTCTGGAAAGGGGCATGCGAGGGCATCTGCGTTAGAGTGCCCAGTGGTTCTCTTTGTCAGGCAAGGCTGGTGGGGCGGTAAACGGCCGTCCACAAGTAATAGCCTTCCTTCCTGACGGGCAGGCAGCAGCCCCCTCAGCATGCTCAAGCACCAAGATTGAGCTGCACAGCCAAGGGGCTTCCTCTGCACACCCCAGCTACTCACTCCTGCCTGTCCCCCGGGACTGCAGGAGACTGCACCAAGCCACCAGCCCTCTAGGTGGAACAATTCCAATGTAATTGATGTGGAAATGAAGGTCTATGAGGAAGAACACCTCAACCTGATTTAGGGATAAACACCAAAGTTGGATAACACTCTTCTCCTTCACAGGAAAGGAAAAAGAGAGTTAAGACAAGGGTGTGTGTGTGTGTGTGTCTGTGTGTGTGTGTGTGTGCACGCATGGTGGGGACTACTAGTGGGAACAATAAACAGATTTTATAACCTGAAGAGAAAAGATACTACTATTGACTATTTGGCATAGTTCTAGCAGAGAAAAGAAGTAAAGGTAACAAATAAAGGGGTGTTGGCTTAGACGGAGACACAAATAATGAGATCAAGAATTAAGAGATGAGAAAATGAATAAAAATTATTCTTTGATGAGACTGTTGTCAGAATGAGGAACAGTGCAGTGCCCAGTTGGACGCTGCAGAAAACACAGTCAGGACAGGGGAGTCAATCTTGAAAGAAGCTGGTGGTGGAAAGTGACTCTCCACGGGAACAGTGAAGGTTCCTGAAGAGACTGAGCCAGGCCAAAAATAAGCAGTAATGGACAGGGGAGTCAATCTTGAAAGAAGCTGGTGGTGGAAAGTGACTCTCCACGGGAACAGTGGAGGTTCCTGAAGAGACTGAGCCAGGCCAAAATAAGCAGTAACTGGATTTAGTAACAATGAGATGATAAGTCAGTCAATAAAAACAAACATAAAAGAAGATGCTGGAATAACCAACATAGCAGTCTTTGTGAAGAATGAGTGAAGTTCTTCAATTAAAAGTCATAAATATGCATCAGTTCAAAAAGCAAAACACAACACTGTGGATAAGACACAAAACTAAAACATAATGTACCCCAAAAATTACAAAAGGAGAGGACAGGCTAGGATGTATCAGGCAAACATAGAATCATAAAGAAGGAAAGAGGTTACAACAAAAATCCCCCAGGGAGAAAAAAAAAGTCAAGAACACACTGAAAACAGCAGTCGCTACTTAACAGCTGCTCCTTGTGTTAATGAGCAACCCTCTGCTTTCTGCTGCACAGATATTGTCTCATTTCTAACTCACAATAAGCTAGAGAGATAAATAATGTCAAGCTCATTCAAAGATGAGGAAAATGAGTCTTAGAACTAGCAGAGCTGACGTTGGACTTCAAACTTAGGGCTATTTTACTATGGATGACCCATATAATTCAGAGAACATATAAATCATGAACTTTTATGGTAAGTAAAATACTATCCAGCTGCTAGAAATAGTGAGAATCTCACAGAAACACACCTCTCTTGGTCCCTGTCAGGACACACACACACACACACACGCGCGCACACGCGCGCCTTTAAGTGGCATAAAGGCTGCAAACTAGAGACCCAAAAGTAAGTTCAGGTCCCAGACTTCAAAACAATAAATAATCCCTGAGGCCTGCTACATGCTAGGTACAATTTACGGAGTCAGACAAACACAAAGATCCTTGTCCTTATGAGGCTTCATGCTAACAGGCTTCTGTTGCTGAGCCCACAGAGTATTTTGAGAAGTGTCTGGGTAGGACCTGTGCCTTCCTGCTTACCACAGACCCACAGTCTCATACCTGGACCATGCCCTGAGCTGTGTGACCCGAGGTCAAGTGTCAAAATTGGAGTGTAAGACTCCTGCTATAAAGGATTTGATTAATATGGTGATAGCGGTGATAGCACTACAATAGATGAATCATCTTATTTAGCACCCTACAAACATTTTTAGAAAGAGGCATTAGGCCATAAAGGAAGCCTCAAAATCCCCAATGCAGAAATTATAAAGCCATGATCTCTCCCAACTCCACAACAAAACTAGCCATCATTAGCATAAACAAAAACATCAATACCATAAAATAAAAAAAATTCTCTAAAATTACTCAGATCGAAAAGGAAATCAAAACCAGTTTCAATGTTTACAGAGAACATTATAACAAACCAAAGCATTTGAGACCAGGTAAAACATTAATAACAGGCAAATAAACAGCATTAAATATTTTTACACCATTAAACAGGAAGGAAGAGGTAAAAGTGAATAAAGAATTTAACTCAATAAACGAGAAGGAAAACCACAAAACAAATCCAAGGTAATAAAAACAAATTAATATATGAATTCCTCAATTAGAAAACACAGAGCTGTAATAAAATACAAAATTTCAGTGCCTTAAAAAAAAACCACACAGTAACAGTCGAATTAATAATTCAAGAGATACTTCCACGGAAACATTATAAAATATATACAATTCTGGCAAGACTAATAAAAAGGAGTATGTAAATATAAGAAACTAAAAAACGAGGAAGGAAACATAACAGATTTATTTAAAAGACTGTTTTTTATCTCCACTCTAATAAATTTTCTTAAAACTCAAGAAAATGAATGATTTACTAGAAACTTTTTTTAAAAAGTAATTCAAGAGAAAACAAAATCTGCAAAAAATCAGAGAAAAGATGAAAGAGTTGTCAAACAAATTTCCTCTCAGAAAGGTAATGGACTCAGGTGACTTTCTGGGCAAATACTTGAACCTCTCTGGGAATGAGTAGATAATTCTCATCCTGGCAGTTTTCCTGCCTATGGAGACAATGATGGAGAGTTTATCAACTCCTTTTATGAAGCTATATAACCCGGACACCAAACCTGACAGAAGTAACCACAGGCCAATACCAAATATGAACATATGAGGGTACCTCAAAATGACTGTGGAAAAACAAAATTAAAAGATAATATGAATCTTTCCATGAACTTTTTTGAAGTACCCTTATAGATGCACACATACTAAATAACACAGCAGCAAATTCAGATAAAATTATAAAAGTCATCTTTTAATAAACAATGTTTATTTTAGAATTGCAGGAATATTTAAATATCAAAAAGTTAATATAAATAGAAAACACAAGTAGCCCAAGTGGTGGTGGGGGGAGAGGGTATACAATTCTCTTGGATACCAAAAAAACATATCTGAGAAAAGCTCAACATTCAATCTGCCAAAAGCACTCAGTAAACTTGAATAGGTTAGATGTTTAACATCATCACGAATATCTATTTCAAACTAACAGGCAACAGTAAACTTTAAAGTTAACAGTGAGCTGCTAGCAGCACTCCCATTAAAGTCAGAGATGAGACTAATATTGAACAGCTTTCTAGAAATTCTAGCCAACAGTGTCAAACAAAGAGAGAGAAGTGTGTAATGATTATGAAAGGCAGGGGGAAAAAACCAACAAAACTATATTATTTAAAGACAAAGAGTGGTTACTTAAAAATAATTCACTAAAACTGACAGAATTTTGTAAAATCCCATATATGGGCCACCAAAAATATATAAAATACAGTCATATGTCACTTAAAACAGGGATACAATCTAAGAAATGCGTCATTAGGTGATTTTATCAATGTACGAACATCACAGACTGTACTGATACAAACCAACATGGTGTAGCCTACACACCTCCAGCTCCATTATTATTTTAGGGACCACTGTCATAAGCACAGTCTGTCGCTGACCAAAACACTATTATACGGTGCATGACTGTAGTTTGGAATAAACCTAACATAAAATGAAGAGATCTATAAAACTCTGCAAGTTACCATAAATAAAATTAAAGGGAAAACGAAAAAAAATGAGAAAAAACATTCATAGAGATAAAATTTTCTAATTCTTAAACAATAATGATTGATTACACGTCAACACAAAATAGAAAGTCCCATTAGAAAAATGGGCATGACACAAACTAAATGATAAATTTTGGGGAAAGAATCTTAAACATCACTAACTATATATTAAAACAATAATACACCATTTTTTTATCCCTTCTAGTAAAAGATTAACAGAAAAAAAAATCAGCATTGGCTGCTATATAAGACCAGAATTCTTACACACTGTACTCCACTCTAGCATGTTCATATCAAGAGATTTATCCTAAGGAAACAAGTACACATATACATATGTACATGGGTGGACACAAAGCCTTGTTTGAGATAAGGATAAACTGGAATCAACCATCATCAGATTTAATAACAGAGGACTGGCTTTAAAAATTCTTACACACTGTACTCCACTCTAGCATGTTCATATCAAGAGATTTATCCTAAGGAAACAAGTACACATATACATATGTACATGGGTGGACACAAAGCCTTCTTTGAGATAAGGATAAACTGGAATCAACCATCATCAGATTTAATAACAGAGGACTGGCTTTAAAAAATAACATATCCAAAAATGGAATATGATGTAGTTGTTAAAAAGCATCATTTAAATGTATAATTTTTAATATGGAAAAATGACAAGTATATAGTATACAAAAGCAGCAGGCTATAAACTGAATAGTTTGTTCCATTTATGGGGTTTTTTTGTTTTTTTTTTTTTAAAGTAACTCAAAAACACACAGAAAATGTTGTGGGAGTATATAAAAATAGCTATAGTGGTCGTTTTCGTATGAAGGGATTATGGATGAATTTAGCCACCACTTACATTTATTTCTTTTAATGACCCTGGACTGACTATAATAACTTTTAAATACCTGCTGTATACCAGTGGTTCTTAACTCTTTTTCTAATAAAAGTTATGGACTTTATCCCAGAAAAAGGTACTTGGTTGATTCTGCCTCAATTTCAGGATGCTCGCCCATGCCCCGAAGCCCTCAAGAGGACTCCTCCCGGGCAGCTGTAGTCAGTACATCATCCATCAGTGCAGCCAAGCACAAGAGAGCAGACCACCCCACTGGATGGACCCAGGACCATCCACGCAGCAGGATGGGAGGGAAATATGATTGCCCTGGAAGATAATTTGGCTGTATTTACCAAAAGCCTTAAAAGGACGCAATGATGACAATTCTAGGGATAGAAGAATGTAAGTAAACGACGTAAGCAACATTTCACTGCAATGATTACTGTAACAGTGAAAACTAGAAATCCAAATACAAGACAAAAAGGAATGCAGACAAATGTCTGACACAGAAGGACCTTCAAAATACACTAGGTTTTTTAAATAAAAAAACAGACCACAAAGAACAGTACAAACATATGCCACACATCATATATATCTTATTTTTCCCATGTACTTGCATAATGTCAATAGTGAATTTTCTTTGGTGGTGGAACTGTTGAGTGTTTTAAATCTGTGCGTGTGTGGGTGTGTACAACTCATCTTGGTCCCCTCATTATAATTAACATGCAAAACTTTTATTGTACTCTCCAGTTTTCTTACATTTATCTTTTCTTAATCAAGCTCAAATCAGCTTACGCAACAGGATTTCATTTTTGCAAAAACACAAAAGATGCATGTGTATGTGTGGGTACAAACACACAAACAAGATAGATAGGTCAACACCAAAATATCAGTAGTGAGCATCTTTAAGAATATTATAGTGGATTTATATTCTCTTCTTTATTTCTAAGGTTTCCTGTTCTCCAATGAGCATCTATTACTTAATTTAAGAACACATGGACAGTATTTTAAGAGGAAAGATAAATCTAAAAATTTAACACTTCTTTTTTCCTTAAGCTGACTTGAAGAAAACCCCTGGACCTGCCTAATTTGCATCTTTGGATCTTTAGAGAAAGAGCTGCCACCAGCAGGTATGGTACTAAATGGAAGACCTTGATTTATTACGGGTGCAGGTGGTAAGTTACAGAACAAAATAAAGTTTCTTTTTTATTAAAATTTTGGTTTGCTATAGTAGTTTCAGGTCTGTATTCAAAGACCATTAATATTCCTAAATAATACTCACTAGGGCTGGGAACAAACCTGCATGAAAATTGGGCAGCTGTTCATATTAAATTTAATAAACTGTGCCTAAGTCCAGTTACAAGACATAAACTCCTCCCAACTGATGGTTAAGCTACTTCCCAACATCTGGCTACTGTATTAGCCTGTCTTTTTTATTAAAATTTTGGTTTGCTATAGTAGTTTCAGGTCTGTATTCAAAGACCATTAATATTCCTAAATAATACTCACTAGGGCTGGGAACAAACCTGCATGAAAATTGGGCAGCTGTTCATATTAAATTTAATAAACTGTGCCTAAGTCCAGTTACAAGACATAAACTCCTCCCAACTGATGGTTAAGCTACTTCCCAACATCTGGCTACTGTATTAGCCTGTTCTGTGTTGCTATAACAGAATACCTGAAACTGGGTAATTTATAAAGAAAAGAGGTTTATTTGGCTCACGATTCCGGGACAGCTGCTTCCTGCGTGGGTCTCAGGCTGCTTCTACTCATGGCAGTAAATGGCAGGCAGCCAGCAGGTATGAGCAGATCACCCAGTGAGAAGAAGCGAGAGAGAGGGAGGTGCCAAGGTCTTTTAAACAAACAGCTCTCATGAGAAGTGACAGAGCGAGAACTCACTACCCCCAACCCAGAGAGAATATTAATCCATTCACGAAGGATCTGCCTCCATTACTCAAACAGCTCCCAAAACTACCACATTGGGGATCAGATTTCCACATGCATTTTGAGGGAACAACACATCCAAACTCTATCAGCCACTTAGCAAATAAAACCTTTTTAAGAGTGTAAACTAAGTAACCAGTTTAGATGCTGAAACTTCAAAGCTGTTGTATTCACCCTGGCTCAGACCACCTGCCTCCCCCACAGGTGCCAGCAGTAATGACTAAGTCAAGCAGCTACTTTGGAGGCCCATCTAGTAGGCAGCCTGATTCTGGTCAGTAAGTACTGGACTTGATGTACTGTGTATCCTGCTAGCACTTTTTAAAAGGTAGAAATGACAGAGCCTGATTAGGAAATCTCAACAGTCACTCATCTGTCACTTGTTTCCTGCACAGACATGTATAGAAACCATCAGGATGCCTACATAGTTCCCAGGACAGCCCACAGAAGCGATTCAGCCATTAATAAAACTGAAAGAGAAGATGGTAGTAAAGGAGCCCAAACCAAGAACCTGCTAGAAAATGCCTTGGGAAACTGAGAACATCTCCTTTCCCACAGAAGAGAACAAGCAATCCCTTCCTCAGCATGCAGCCAGTGTGGTCATGGGGCACAGAGAAGGTACCCAACCCAAGAAGAAAGAGGAGCCGCTGAGGTCAAAGCTAAGCCCCGCCATGGGCATTTGGGGAAGCCAGACAGATGAACACTACCTCCAGTGCAATGACTGTTCCTCCAGCCAGCCCTACTGATTACTGATTCTGCCTAACAGAAGCCTGGAATTAGAGTTCTGCTGTAACTTAGTTCTTATTAGCTCTTGCTTATTTCCCCATGCACCACAGTTCTGGAAGAGAAACTGAATTATAAAGAAAGCACACAGTAAAAACTTCATTCGGACATGACCTCACTTTAATTACCTATTTGATCAAAAGAAAATGCAATAGTCTTCTAAAATATTTTGGCTTCTAGAATATAGATTTCTTAAGCCTAGGGACTAATTTCTTTAAATCTATTAAGTACTATATCAATATGTTCACTCTGGGTATAGTAGAAGAAGGCTGCTATGAAGGAAGCACTGTTTGAGAATATTACATTCCATTTCAGCAGTGCTTAACACTGAATTCTTCATAACAGCAGATGATAAATAGTTGATTCAGGAATACCAGCTTTTCTTCTATTATATAACTAAGTTATTTCATGTTCAATAATTTTCAAATATTAATGAGGGAAGATCTCCAAAGCAAGTTGAAAAAGTCAGCATATTTCAGCTTTATGAACAAAAGATAAACAACTAATATTTCAGAATACAAGAATGATGAAAACAGACTGACGTCCCTCAAAAGGATAATTTCCCTCACTGTTATCTGGAAATGTAGGCATTAATTCCTAACTCTTTGGGGGCAGAGGAGTTGGGGGGAATATGCTGTCCATGAGCCTATAATAATCTGATAAAATCTTCCTCCCTTGGAAAACACACACAAAATTTTACATAAAAAATTCAAAGGGTTCAAGGGCATCCTAAAGCCTATTAATAGACCTGAGGTTAAAAATTGTAAGGTGGAATTCTCATCTTTGAGAATTATATAGCACCTTTAATTTGTGAAAATTCAACTATTCAGCAATCAATATCTAAATCTACATCAGTAGACAGAGAGCAAGCCTCTTTTAATTCAATCCAAAAGTCAATTTTCAGAGCACTTCAGTGGTTCCAGTTCTAGAAGAAAAAACGACATATCCTCAAGAAATTTTTTTTAATTTGCATAATGAAAAATTAGAAAAGTGAAGAATAATCAGTGTTTTCAAATAATTGATGCATGTTCTCTTTTAAATCACACGCACTTCCTGAACACCACGAGGCAGGCTCAGGTGCAATCACTACATTCTGAATTACCCACAACTGCGGAAGTCAGATTTGAACAGAAACAGCTTCTTACCAGCAGCAAAGGCAGAGCACATTACAAAGAACATCCCAACAGCGATCCTTTTCAAGGATGATGGGAGCAAGCCATTCCTTTTCAAAATGGGATCAACCACTTTGTCCTTCAAAGGTATGAGCAGGAGGATGAGCACAGCATCAAACATGGTCAGCCAGGCTGCCGGGAACTGGAGTTTAAAATACACGGGCATGTGTTTATTCCCCACAGTAGGAATACTCACTTATTTGATAGCAAATATCTAAACAGAAAACCTCAATTGAAGATGAGTTCCTTTCCACAAAGCACAAACTCCTAAAAAAAGAATTCCAGTTTTAAGACATTGGAACTGGAAAAAGACATTTCTAAGTGAATCTGCATTTACTTTTTCTGTGTTGGAGGGAAGGAGAAAATCAGGTGAAAATACTAACTAATGTTGGATTGCTATTAGTCCACTTTATCCAGTTAATGATATAACCAATGGAAAAATATTCTCTAAAATAAGTAAAAATTCAATTTCAGTAATAATGTTTTTAGTTTGTGCTAACTGCTAACATTCATAGAACATCTACAGTTGGTACAAGGAATCCATCTATTGCATAAACCCCAAGTGACAATTTCCAGATCATTTCAATTGTTCTTACCGTATGAGGAGTGGTTGTAATACTTGTAATTTCTGGGATCTTCAAATGAAGACTCTGTAACACATATGTTGTCTGCATCTGGGTGAAAAAGCAGCAGCATCATTAAATGTGACAAGTGTGCTTCTCACATACTCTAAGCACAACACCCACCCTGACCTAGACTGTGATGAGACACAGCAACAAATCCCACAACAGACAATGGATCAGGTTTGGAAATGGACAAGTCATCATAATTATTAAAAGTCATCATAAAAGTCCTCTGGAGATCAATTTTGAAAAACCACCAGTTATACAAATGAGAAATTAAATTAAGAGGAGGGACATGGGAAACCAGAAGCATACCAGTTCTCAGCTTCTTTTTTGGAAAGATTTTCAAAATATTTAAAGCAGCCAAAATTCATACTTAAAGACAAAAATTCCAAGACCCTCCCTACACTCATGAAAAAAAAATCACCGAGCACTATGTACTTTAGTCATGGCCAAAACAAGTGCCAGGGTAACGCTTGATAGGAAGATAAAGGAAATTAAACCTGTTTGTCACCACTCACTTGGAAATACACTGTCCAGTAAGGTATCAAAGCCAAGAAAACAGGGACAATCTTGACCAGAGCTTTCACATCTTCCACTTTATCTTCTGTAAATGGCCCTCCACGAGACATCTTACATGAATCAAACAGACTTTGTTTAGAAGATTGCTGAAAGACTCCAATGCCTTCACTTTGGGAAATAAAATGAAGGAATTAGTTTTCTTCCACTCCCAGCAATCAATTATTTGGTAACAAATTAAGTTTGGAGGTAGAAAACCAGCTCACTGTTTTAAACTTGCTTTAACTCATCCTATTACTTACTAATTGTACACACTAAATATAACTACCTATATTATTTCTAAATGTTGCAAAATGTACTGAACAGCTGACAAAAGGACTTTCTCTGTGAGGCTGGCCAGTTAGCTCACTTAGTTAAATCACAGTGTTGTAACACCAAGGTCAAGGAAGGATTTGGATCCCCATAACAGCCAGGTGCCTCCCTTTCCAAAAGGGCAATTGTGGCTACAGTAATTTTAATGAAGCTAGGAAGATGTTGTATAATTATAGTCCAAATTGTGGCTGATCTTAGCCCCAGCTTTACACTACTCAGAAATCCCTGTGTTGAGGAAAGCCTTCAGCTTCAATTGAAGCTGGGAACATCAGCTACATCATTGGATTAATATTTGGGAAAAAAAAAATTGCACTGGATTGTTTGGATTTTTAAATAACTAATTTATCAGATATCAAGACCAATACCAATGCTGTTCAATAAAACCATTCTGAGTTGTTTTCATTTAGTCGCTGGTATGACTACAAGGGAGGGTTCCGTCCTAGCAGGGAGAGCACTATCTTTCTATTCAGGTGAAAGAGCTGAGGGGAAGGAGCAATGCTGGCAGTTAAGATGGTCATGACAGTTACAGATAATGACAAAACCAAGAGCAGGTCACACGAAGTGCTCAGTGTGCCCTGCCATATAGTGCTCCCTCATTAATCCTGGCCACACCCCTATGAGGTACTCAAATACTCTTACTGGCCCTGTTTCACAGAGGAGGAACCCAGCGCACAAAGAGGATAAGAAATGTGCCCAAGGTAACGAAGCTAGAAGAGTTGGAGTTGGGACTTGGACCCGGGCTGCCTCGGCTTTAGAGCCTTAGCTGACCACTGCTGATACCACTGCCCCTCTGATCCCTACCCACATGCATTGCTCTCACATCTGCCAGCCACCGTCAAGTCAAGAATACGAGCCTATTGTCCTAACAAGACTCACTTACACAACCTGGCCCTGTCTTATTATTTATAAAATGAACAGGTCCCACTACATAGCTCCAAGATCTTTCTCAGCTCCAAACCACTCTAAGGGAGGAACATGCACTAAGGATTTCAGGAGCAAAACAGGAAAAAAAAAAAAAAAAAAAAAAAGTAACAACTGCATATTGTTCTCTAAAATGAGAAATGCCTGGAGATAATTAATTACCATTAAGAGCGTTTCCAATTCTGGGACTTGGATGGAAATGTCATTTGTCTGCTTTTTAGTTTATAAATTTGTGTCTCATTTTACTAAATTGCCACTATTTAAAATTATTTTCAGCTTATAAAGCTGATGTTTTAAACCTGGACTTTCAGAGTGGGAGAAAATCAAAAAGCTGAGAACTGTAATTAATATTTTTGCCAAATTTTGGTCCAAAAACCTAAATTCAATTCAACAAATATTTACTGAGTACCTATTATATGCCCAGTACTGGTCTAACTAACTAAGTTTTGGGATACAAAAACACATTTTTAAGGGATACAATGATACATTTTTAAAGTATACGGTTCCTGTCCTCACGGAACTTAGTCTGGTAGGAGAAAATAATCCAAAAAAAAAAAAAAAACCACTCAAAAGTAAAACTGTAATTTTCAGAGATATTACTCATATTTCTATTTGAAAGTAAACATAACTTCTCAAAGTTACTTTTTTTCCCCAAAAGGAAATTTAGAGTCTTTATGTACCTAATATAGATACTACCAGTGATTTACCACATTACACTAAATATGTTTCTCTAAAAATATTTAAACGCCAAATTACAAATCTATTTTCACACAAAGAATCATTCACAAAGGTTAGTGGTTATATTATTTTTTCTTTATCCCATTAAAACATCTTAAAAACTGCTAAGTCAATATGCATCTAAAACTTTACCTATTTCATACATATTGTTAGTGTACTATTTTGAACACAGGAGGTTCCAACAGAGACACGGACACAAATGACATTGGAACACAGACAAGAACCCATGAACAAGAGCTCCTCCCCTGAAAGTTTGTGTGCTCCAGTTTCAAGATGCCCGTGCCCCCGACTCTCTGCAATGGGTGCATGCATATGTATGTGTTCTCCACGGAAGACAAAATGTGTCTCTCCACGGAAGAGAGTCCATTAGTTCTCAAATTTTCAACTCAAAGAGGCGCATACCTCATTTCAACTCCAGTTTGATGACCTGAACAAACACACCTTAATTTCTCACTTTATAATAAGCAGAAAATCATCTTCAAAGCACAGGTCAACCTAGGCCAGAAACTGAGACTGGGCCAGATGAAATTACATGCCACAATCATGGAAATACCAGTTGTGTGTATGTTGTGCTTCCTGAGGCTTCTGACGCCTACCTCCTCTACAACATCCTTGTCACAGCAGCTACCACTGACTAGGCCCTCATCCTGCACCAGGCATTCTGAGGGCCTTCCACACATTCGCCTTCCTCAGGCCTTATGGAAATCCTATGAGATCAGTCCCTCTCCATTGTTCAAAATGGAAAAGTAGGCTTGGCACAGGTCAGTAACCTGATCAAGGTCACAGAACCAGTTCAAACCAAGAGCATAGTTTGGAAATTCTTTAGAGCATCAATTTTTCTGCAAGCTAGTCTTTTTTCTTTTTTTTCTTTTTCTGGCTTATTTTTGCTCAAAAAACCAGTGTTTTAAATAAAAGTAACTCCAAACCTTCTTCACTTCTTCATCATGCCTTTTGTACATTAAAACCCCAAAACATCCTCAAAGCAATACTGTTCTCTTGCAAAAATGTTTACCAGGTATCACCCACACAGTTGCACTGAAACTTTAAGGGTTGCTCCCAAGAGAGGTTGTATTTTGCCAATGGATATTTAACCAATAGAATAAATATCCAGAATCTGAAACACTGCTTTTTTCTAATCAAAATAAGGCCCTGGCAAAAGACTAGTGTCTCCTGCTGAGGCAGGGCTACTTGGTCTCACCATGTGTACTTTTGAACTGAATCTGAATGCCACAATGACTCACCAGCATTTCCGGTAGTTCAGCTAGGATGGTTAGGAAATCTGTCAAAACACACAAGGGAATGCTAAAGAAATCAGAGACGTTTAGAAAAGAGCAAAGAAGCAGGCCCATAAGAGCTATTTTGGGGCAGCTTCAAATCTGCCACGTGGAAGGAATATTAGACACATTCATTATGACTCCAAGTACATAAATAAGACAAACACAGAAAAGCCACAGTGAGGTAGATGTGCAAGTCTGCCTGCAGAAGAACATTCCAGCTACCACTGCCCCCAACAATGGGGTGCGCTGCCGAGAGACAGGAAGCTCCAATAGCTGCATGGTCAAAGTCCTGCTCAGCAACTATCAGAAATTCCTAAATTAATCAGAATACTCCCTGATGGGACTGACTACAAAGGGTCCCAGGGACTGGTGGTTACGCAATTTAAATAAGTTTGCCATAATTCACAGAACTATATAGCTAAAAAGGTTGAATTTTACTACATGTAAAAAAGCAGCAGCTTACTTTTTAAAGAGTATAGATAGGTACCAACAAAATGAGCAATTGCTTAGTTTTTCATTCAAATGTATTTCAAAGCTTTTTAAAATAAAAAGAAATATGTACAAAGCATGTACTCTGTCTCCTCTATGCCCTCTGCAAATTTCTATCTTTATAATCTTCCACCAAGCAGCCAGGAGCTTCCATCTGTTCTAGCAGAGGAGGAAGTTCAATGTGGAGGTTAAAAGCATGAGCTCCACTGGCCTGTCTTTAAGATGGGGGACAAAAGCACACCCACCTCCTCCAGAGTATGCAAGGTTAAAAGAGATAAGACACATAAACCACTAAGCCCAGTGCCCAGCACACAGTAAGCACAGTACGGACATAAGCTAGTGTTTTAATTATAGTCATTGGTAAGTCATGTCAAACTGAGCTTGTGAGAATTAAGAACTTACCCACTACTCTGGCGTTCTCTGCTTCGCTTCTGTGAACAGCATGAATATGTCAATATTTTGAATACATCAGTGAAGGCGCTGCCATCAGGAGGCTTGGTGATGAAGAAGCTCTGGCCACAGAGGAAGACCACGAAAGCAATGCCGACACAGACAGTGGGGATCAGGTAACCGGTTACAAAGCTCACGTTCTGCTGAATATAGGCAATGCCTCCTAATGAAATGATTGCTCCCAAATTAATGCTCCAATAAAACCAATTAAAAAATCTCCTAGTGGCTTCTGGACCTCGATCTTTAACCTAAAATAATAGAGAGGAAAAACACTTGAAAACCTGTCAAGGGTGAAAAGCAGATATAATCAAGTGATTAAAATTACTGTTGTCATCACAGTCTATAAGAAATGCAGCATAATCAAAATGGTGTTCACAGATACATTGAAGGGCCTCCTGACAAAAAAGTATCCCACACTTTTAATTACCACAGATGCTGGGTAATGTTTCTCTGATTATGCTAAATTCTAAATATGTAGATCATCTCCCTTTGTGGCCTACCTGGAATGCTCCTTAAAAACAGATTCATGGGACACACATGCCAGACCTACCGAATCATCATCTCTGGGGTTGGGGCCCAGGTATCTGCATTTTAATCAGCTTTCCAGGTACTTCTATTCACAGTAAGTTTTAGAACCACTGATATGTAGCTCCACCTGTTACTGGGTTAAATATGAGTGTCATGAGGCACAGAGTAAACACACTTAGGACCCACAGAGAAAGGCTGCAGGTAACATTTGCTTAAGGGAGCCAGGGCCACCCCTACTGTATCTGGTCTCCTGAGAATCAGAGATCTTGATAAACCTGAAGCACAGAGGAAATTACAGACTAAAGCTAAAACTACAACCATTTTTAGATTAGAAAGGCTATCAATGTAATCAGGAGAAATTCTGATAAGGGTAAGGATTACTGAAAGCTTCAAAAATCAAAAACTTTCTAGACTCAGACAAACATGAGCACTCAAGGTACCACATGCAATGCCCAGGCTTATTCCCTCCACAAGACTACCTGAGTGCAACCATGACATCGAAAGTTCATATGGGGGTAGGGACACTGTGAGCCTTCTCTTCCCACCTGGATTTTACATCTGAATGGACAATGTAAGAGTGAGCCCTGCACTAGCCAAAGATATTTCTAGAGAGTTTCATTTCATAAGATTTTTCTAGCAAACTTACTTGCTAAAGGCTAATGCCGGATTTCACACAAAGACTATCTATCTTTGCTGTCTTAAGAACTTCTACAGTCTCATCCTTAAGTTACAGGTTATGAAAAGGTTAGAAAATTCCATTTCAGTAACACATCTGGTTTCTGATCCACAGAGCAATCTCCTCTACTGAATAAGAACTTTTAAATAACTCCAAACAACCAATTATGATATGCAATAAGCATCTTTTTAGCAATCATATTATTTGATACAATATTTTAAGCTCTATTTTTTAATATCAGAGATGTAAAATATATAATCAAAATTGTCATGGCTATTGTGCTGAAAAGTAATATGCTTGAATTAATTTGGCAACAACCATCTCCAATTGAAAATCCGAGTTTTAAATAAATCACATGTTCTCAAGAGTTTAAACTGTTCTCCAATCCACATCAGCGCTAAACAGAGCTCCTAGACCAAATGCAGGCATCGTCACTGAAGAAAGTTTGTACTGAGAATGTATTATACTTCTAAGGCAGGCAGTTCTTCACCAGGACACAACGCATTTAAATGTTACTAAATAGTGGGCACTAACACTCATGGTACAATGGACACAGATCAGAAGAAAAAGAAATGTGAACAGGGAAATGGTTACAGAGAAAACATAACTAAAACTGTAAAAAAAGAGAGGTAATTGTTTTGACAAGCTTAAAAGGGAGGAGGCCAGTAAGTGTAATGTCTAAACTTAAAAGACAATTTACATATTGAATTGAAATGCACTAGGGGCCTTTCCATCATGCACTGTAGTACTGCACACATCTTCCCATGTCCTCAGACTTATCTCCTCTTCAAATGAAGCGTGAAAAAAATGAACATTCGATTAGTCTACTGAAATCCTAACCTTAAAATTCCATGCATCCTCATGTCTTGCGTAGACATGATTAATTTATTTCAACTTCCAAGGGTAATCCATCAAAATTGCTTTATAAACTGAAGACTAAGGCCTAAAGAACCACATACCAGCCATTTTTGTAACAGAGGGGAAGCTGGCTGCTATAAAGGGCACATCACATGCTTTCATTCCCTGGGCAGACAAGCCCCATCACAGCAGCTGCATTACATCATCATTGTGTACAGCTGCTACATGCTCTATCAGGGTAAACAAGCTTTTCATGTGACTGGTCAGAAGATGCCACCAAAATCAATTCGGAGAAGTACAGCAAATAGAACTGTATATGTCGAGTTAAGCAGCTGACTTTTTTCCTCTAGAAAAAAAATGTATTATTTGCTCTATTAATCTATAAGTTTTTCTTCTTTTAGGTCACTATTTCAAATAATCAATTCATCAAGAATGCTCATGACCTTTGAAAAAAGGTTAAGCACTAGAGGAAGATAGGGGGCTGACATGATTTACATCAAAATATGTCACCCTTGGACTCATGGCTTATACGTCCTCTTTCAAAAGCCAACCAAGGCCTCCTTCCCAAAGCCACTGAGTCTGACCCCATTCACCTCTCCAGTCAGTGTTTCCCAGACATGAGTGATAGGAAAGTATAAAAAATACCCTAAAAATGCAAATACGATTCCTCTAAGTGAGAAGGGCCACAACAGAACAAACCAACCCCACCCTGGAGAACAGCAGAGCATGCTTCATGCCTGGAGACCCCAGGCCTCCCTCTAGGAAATAGCCAGCACCTCCAGGACAAGGACAACCTTTGAAATCTCTCTCAACGAACAGTTCGCACCCGGCATGGAACAAGCACTCTGGCATAAGGGTACTAATGTTTTCCCCCAGTTTTTCCCTTGAGATATAATTCACATACCATAAAGTTCACCCTTTAAAAGTGTACAACTCAGGGCTGGCTGGTTAGCTCACTCAGTAGAGCGTGGCGCTGGTAACATCAAGGTCAAGGGTTCAAATTACTGTACTGGCCAGGAACTGCACAAACTGCAATTCAATGGTCTTTAGTATACTGAGAGTTGTAAAATCATTACTAACATCCAATTTCACAACATTTTCATCACATCAACAGGAAATCCCGCACCCTTTAACAGTCACTCCCATGGCCCCTCTCATAGCCCCTAGAAACCTCCAATCTGCATTCTGTCTCTTCTGGACATTCCATGTAAAGAGAATTATACAAGGGAGACTTTTGTGTCTGACTTCCTTCACTTAGTATAATGTTTTCAAGGTTCCTCAGTACCTAATTTCTTTCCTATGGCTGAATAATATTCCACATGGATATACTACATTTAGTTTATATACTCATCACTTCATGGACATCCCCCTAACTTTCCATTTAAAAAAATTTCAAATTTGTAGAAATGTGGAAAAAATCATAAAATGTACACTTCTATACCTTTCACTTAGATCCTTAGAACTTTTTTTTTCTGCATATAAAAAACATTTGGCTTAATTATTTGAAAATCAGTTGTGGCATTATGTATTTCATCCCCAAGATTTTATCATGAATCTCCTAAAAATAAGGGCATTCTTCCACATGACCACAATACCTTCACCACACCTAAGAACGTAACATCAACACATTATTATCTAACACATGGTCTACAGTCAAATTATGACATTGCATCTGGTTTTCTGGCCTAATATTCACTCACCCAGAATGGTCTCCTTTTTTCTACTACAGTGCTACGTTCAAAGAGATTAGGCCAGTTACCTTGTAGAACAGGGCACATTTCTTTTTAATTTCCACATTTAAATTATGGATCAAAGGAGTGCATTCTGTCAGATTCATTCAAGATAACCTCTACAGGAAAATTCACTTTTTTAAGCAATATTAATTATTTGTGTATTATCTACAGGGAGAGCACTTTTAAGTCAGACTGCCTGGTTCCAAAACTGGCTCTCCTACCCAACTGCTGTACAACCCTGGGTGAGTCAAATCCTCTAGGCCTACGATCCCTATACAACAGGCATAATTACAGTACATAAACCACAAACTGTTGTGAGGCACACTATAATGGGCCTCATCTTCAAAAGATGAAGGGCTGTGCTACCAGCCCTGTGCCTTCCCTGAAGGCCTGTAATCCAGTGGTACCCTGAGGCCAGGGCCATGAGTCTGGGCCTTTAGACTCAACTCTGCGGAACCATCAGAGAATATACACACATTCAGCCCTTCTTAGTGCAGTGGTTCAAGTATGGATTAAGAAATCAGAACTGGAATAAAAGCCTGGATCGACCACTCATTACCTAGAGGACAACAAGAAAATCATCATTTTGTGTCTCTGTTTCCTCATCTGTAAAATGGATATAAGACTCATGTGAGGTTCAAATAAAGTCAAGCATGTAAAGCAAATGCTGCTGTACGAAGAACACAGTTCAGAATTCAGTACACCAGACAACTATTATTTTTCACATCATTATAAGGTATCTTCTTACTCTAATGAATAGCCTTGTACAGGCACGGTTAGAACTCAAATTCAAAACAAAAGGTATTTGAATCCTGGCTCAGTCACGTACAGGCTGTGTAACTTCAGGCAAATGATTTAGTCTCCCAAGCCTCAGTTTCCTCATCTGTAAAACGTGCACTATAAAAGCAGAGGTGTCATAAGGATTAATAAAGTACTTAACACAGTGCCTGGTGCATGGTAAGCCCTCAGTAAATATTACAAGGGAAAGGCACTCACATGGTTTAATGCATAATAAACCTAGGAGTTATCTTTCCTATTGTTCACATATAACCCAGCAGACCAGCAATTCCCACCCACTCTGCTTCCACAATGTATCTTAAATCCACCCACTTCGTTCCATGTCCACTGCCTTTACTCTAGTCCAAGCCCCCCCCCCTCACCTGTCTAGATGTAATAGACCTACCTGGTATCCCTGCTGTCACCCCTTTCCACACAACCCATTCTCTACAGCAGATATCCGCACACTTTTTCTCTGAGGGGCAGGTAGTTAATTTAAACATTTCAGGTTTTATGAGACATTTGGTCTGTCACAACTACTCAATTCTTCCACTGTCTAGTGAAAGCAGTCCTGGCATAGCAAATACATAGGCAGGAATGGGGAGGGCTGATAGAGCTTTATTTACGGAGACTGACATCTGAATATCATACAATCTTCACTTCTCACAAAATATTCTATTTGCTTCCAACCACTTAAAAATGTCAAGAACCACTCTTAGCATGTGAATCCGAAAAAAACAGGAAGTAAACCTGATGTGGCACCCAGGCCGTGGTCACCAGACATCTGCTCTACACAGAACATAAGTCATATCACTACCCTGCTCAAACCCCATAAAAGCTTCCTACTGTACTCAAAACAGATCTCAAACTCTTTAACACCCCGCACATGATCTGTCCCCGATTACTTCTCCCACTCCTTTTAATTTTCTGAAATGATCTGCGTTTCCCATTGCTCTTAAAATCTCCTATTCTGCATATAACACTTATTAATCATTTCCTTTCCCCTCCCGAAGATCAGGAGCGGTTCCTCCCTCATTTCTTGGCGTTCATGGTTGCAAAGCAGGAGCTTGGTGCTAACTTGATTCAAACTCCTTTGCATCTGGCCTTTCCTACAAACCCCACCCCCAAACTCCCTTAAAATAACAAAGACTGAATACACCGCTCTTTGTAATCGAAGAAGCTACAAGTAACCTGGCCGCCTTCCCTTTACTTCCTGGCCCCAGGGCCTTTGCACTTGCTTATCCTCCTGCCTGGAAAGCTCTTCCAGCGACTGCTACCTCTTCTATCCTTCAAGTCCCAACTCCAGCAGCTCCTCCAGAGAGACGAGGCCTATTTTCTTTAAAGCCACAGTGGACATCCCTCTGTATGCGGATCCACTCACCCCGCCCTAGGCGGACCCCTTCCCAGCACCTATCATACCTGTCCTCCATACTACCTTTATCCACCTGCTCGCGGGCTTCTTCCCCACGCGGGGCAGGCGGCCCCTGTCCCTGTCCTGCGGCACGTGAACGGGGGCGGGGCGCGCGGCTCACCTGGTCGGCGCCGAAGGGTGTGATGTTGGCCTTGACGGTGGCCACGCCGAGCCCCACAAGCACTAGCCCTGCGAAGGTGGCGGGCGCGCAGTGGCGGGTGGCTGCCTCCGGGCAGACCGCACTGCCGTTGGCGGAGGACGCCGAGCAGTTGAGCACGCGCGCCGGGCGCAGGGCCCCGCAGAGAGCGACGCGAGGGGCGGGCGCGGCCAGCAGCGGGAAGGCCAGCATGCCCAGCAGGTACAGCGCCAGGCTGAGCAGGATAGCGCGCGCCCGGCCGAGCCGCGCGTCGGCCAGCCAACCGCCGAACGGCGAGCCTAGGTAGGTGAGGCCCATGAAAAGCAGCAGCGCCTGGCTGGCCTGCGCGCCCTCCCAGAAGAACGGCGCCCCGTTCAGGAACAGCACCAGGTTGGACGTTATGCCGTAGAAGGCAGCTCGCTCCAGCAGCTCGGTCAGCAGCACGGCCCCGCACGCCACGCGCCGGCCCGCGAACGCCGCTGCCAGCCGCGCGCCCAGCAGCGGCGCCCGCTCGCCCGCGCCCTCCATGCGCCGCAGCGGTCGCAGCCGCCCGCCGACCGACGCTCCCACAAGCCCTCGCTGCCGCCCTTCTCGCGAGACTTACTGCCCAGCCCGGGCGTCCCCATTGGGTGGGCTCGCCGCCGCTCAGCACGGCCGACGCGGGCTTCTGGTCCCGCCCCGGAAGCCTGAGGAGGCGGCTGCCCAGCTGTCCTGGTCAGTTCTTGTGGAGTGCGGGGCGGTGGCTTTACTGCCCAGGAGGTGTTAGAGGAATCAGAGCCTGGCGCTCCGAGGCGTCCATCCTGCACCGGCGCCTAAAGGGCAGCTAAACCCACGCTTCCGGCGGTGACCGCTCTTTAGGCTGATGCACTGAGGCTCGCCCCTTTTGCCCCTGCCCCCAGCCTCCTCGGCCTTCTTTCTGTCCTGAGACAGGTCTTCTTAACTCGTGCATTATTGACATTTGGAGCTGGGTGGTTCTTGGATGCAGGACTGTCCTGTGCATTGCAGGACGTTTAGCAGCCTCCCTGGCCTCTGCTATCCACTAGGTGCCAGTTCCACCCCCGCCACCGCTGGTGGTGACCACCGAAAATGCCTGCAGGCGTTGCCAAAGGACCCCTGGTGGGAGGGGGAGGGCAAACTTGCCCTGCCACTGAGAACCACTGGCCTAGAATAAGCCAAACTCTAGCCTGTCTCAGGCTTTTTTCCATAATACCTGTGCTACAGGTCAAGTGTATTCCTCAAAAGTTCATGTATTGAAAAGTTGACCCTCATTGTAACAGTGTTAAGAGGGTGGGGAATCCTATTGTAGTATTTGAAAGGTGGGGCCTTTATGAGGTGATTAGATTGTGAGGACTATGCCCTCATGAATGAATTGATCCATTCATGGACTAATGGGTGTGGTTCTTATGGCTTTAGAAGGAGAGTGAGTGAGAAGGTTAGCTGTCTTGCTTAGGCAATTCTCACTGTGGCCAAAAAGGCCCTCACAAGATGCTTATACTAGAACATGGCCTCCAAACTGCAAGAAATAAATTTTATTTCTTTATAAATTACCCAGTTTCAAGTGTTATGTTATTAACAAAAACAGACTAATACAATATGTTACAATTTTTGCTTATTCTTTTTTTCCTCCAATTTGTGCGTGTTTTCCACAGGTCTTCGTGGTGTCAGGGCACTTTCATGTCTTGTTCCTCACCATGTCCCCTGTGCCTAGGACATGGCCTGACACATAGTGGAGTGGAGAAGAGCCTTCTGAAAATGGCCCCCAGCATTGCTTCAGAAATTGGGACCACAGCTGCAATGACTCGATGAGCGTGAGTGAGACCATTTCCTCTTCCTTCCTCCATCCTTACCTCTAGTTAACACAAGGATGGATTCACTACCTGGGAAGAGGCCTTGCCACTAGGTCATCTGGATAAGTAATCCTGCCAATAAGTCTGGAAGTAGCATGTATTATCTTTTTTTATTTTTATTTTTTGAATGTCTGACACATTGACTGATTCTTAGCACAGTGCTGGCACATAGCCGGCAATATATATTTGACAAATATCTAATGAAAAAATAATTGAATGTCGGAACTGGACCTTCTCCACCTATCTGTTAATGCTGATCATTTTTCAGTTGTCAGCTCAGATGTCACTTTCCTAAGCCTTCCAGGTGAGATTATCGCCCCGCACCCACCACTTTTTATGTGGTTAGAGTTCTCTATACTTTTTTTCACAGAACCCATTTTATAATTTGTGTGTATAAATGTAATTTATAATTTATTTAATTGTGAAACTATTTGACATCTGTCTGTAAAGCTGCGATCTTGTTTCCTAGTCTCTGGCACAGCCCCTGCCAGTGATAAATGTATGTAGAATAAACTAAATGAATGAACATTTGTTGGATTGTAAATGATGCAAGAACATCTTACATTAACTTTTTTTTTTCTTTCTTTTTTTTTTAGACTAATCTTCTAGGGCATATATTAGTACTCTAACTCACTATGTTCAGGGTCGCACATCTAGTAAGCAATAGAGCTCAGGCATAAAAGGCTTGTAACTAATTTTTAGTTTAGTGTTTCTTCCACATTCCAGCTGGTAGATGAGATAATCTTTGCATCATAGTTTGAATGTTCTTCAAAAGTCATATTGAAACTTCATTCCCATTCATGGATTAATGGGTTAATGGATGCATGTGTTATCAGGAGTAGACTGGTGGTATTATAAGGAGAGGAAGAGAACATGTGAGCGTACTCTTGCCCTCCTGCCATGTGATACCCTGTGCTGCTTCAGGGCTCCTCCACAGAGATTTTCCCCCCAGGAAGAAGGTTCTCCCCAGATGTGCCCCCTTGACCTTCCCAGCCTCCAGAACTCCAAGAAATAAATGTCTTTTCTTTATAAATTCCCCAGTTTCAGTTATAAATGGACAAAAACAGACTAATATACTTTGAGTATTTGTTCTAAGACTGATAGGATTGACACACTCAGGCAAAGTCTAGAATAAATTAATATTAGACATGGAATGAGTACAAACCATTTGACTTGAATCATGTGAAAACTTAGTGCATAAGCACTGCCCAATACAGCTGAGCTGTTCTGGGTGATAGCAAACTAACCCAATTACACAGGCTCCTTTGAGAAATATAAAGCTAAGTGAAAAAATGGAGGGGAGGCTGGACTCAGAGTTCAGGATGTATGCTGAGGAATTTTGAGCACTTATTCCTGGTCCTCAGGAGATCTGTTGTACACTGCAGTCTTTGATACCTTGAGGTTGCAAAACAAATCCAGCATGCAGAAATGTTTTGATTTGGTTGCAACGTTTTTAAAAAAAAAAAAAAAAAGTGAGCCAGTTCCACCTATTGCAAGATCCCATTTATATGAAATGTCCAGAATAGGCAAACTTATAGAGACAGAATGCAGATTACTGGTATGGTTGCCAGATACTGGTGGGGGTGGAGGAGATTGCGGAGGGACTGCTAAAGAGTATGGGGTTTCTTTTTGCAGTGATGAAAAGTTTCTAAAATTGATTGTGGTCATGGTTGCACAATTCTGTGTACATACTAAAAACCATTGAATTGCACACTTTAAATTAGTGAATTGTATGGTATGTTAATTATATCTATAAAGCTGTTACCAAAAGAAAGTGAACTAACAGTTAAAAATTGAGAGTTTTCGAGTATAAATTTGGATGCACTGTTGTTCTTGGGGCGGGTGGGGGGAGGGTAGCTCTGACAAAACTGGGACTTGTGGTTGCCTGTTACACTTTGTCTCCCCACCCACACTCCCCTTGAACCATGCCTCATGGTATTCAACCTTGATGTAGTCCCCACAGGTCACAGTGCCTGCAGTTTGCTTTGACCAAAAGAACTTGGTAGAAGCGTCCCTGGGCCAGGTCTGTGTCTAACCTTGAGAAGGTCTGGGAGCTTCCACTTTTGTGCTGTGGAAGTCCTAAGCCACCATCTTAGAAGTCCATCTACCCTGCTGGAGAGAACTGAGTTGAGGAATAGTCTGCCACTGCATGTAAAGGAGGTCTCCATTGTCTCAGCATCCCAGCCACGCTGCCAGCTGACTGAAGCCACATGGATAATCACCAGCAAGACCAACAGGAAGACTGCCCAGCTGAGCCTCAGCCCAGGTTATGAAGCAACAGATAATGGAGACACACCTACCTTCCAACAGAGCCACAGTCTGCTGACGCCAAGTAGCAGCTCCTTTCTTTAGATGGAGGATACACTCTCTAGCTTATCTAAATCCTTCCTATTCTCCATTGTCTTATTTTTCTTATCCAAGAGAAATTATTCTCTTTTCCTCCCTTCTCTCTACTGCACTTAACGAGTTTGAAAAAGAAAAAAAAAAGAAAGAAGTAATTCTCCATATCTGCACTGTCCAGTGCAGTAACCACTGCCACATGTGACTACTTAAACTTAAATTAGTTAATGTTAAATATAATGAAAAATTCTGTTTCTCCATCACACTAGCCACATTTCATGTGCTCTGTAGCTATGAGACTGATGGCTACCATAGTGCAGTGTAGATCACACCATCATTGCAGAAAGTTCTAGCAGACAACCCTGCTCTATACTAATGTGTAATGTGTGTGATGAATTACATACCCAACATCCACACCCTCTTTCTTCTTCCAAACAGAATCCCAATTCTATTCAGGTATTTATTCTCTGTTTGTCCTAACCCCACCCCTGCCTGTCACCAGCTACCCCTGTAGCTCAGGAGAAACTAACTTCATCTTTGTTCCTGGGTCTGACTAGTTAGCACCAGAGCTGGTCCCCTGGTTCTTCATGGTGATTAGTTCAGGTACCCAGGCTCAAGCCATCCAGGACGTGCCCATGGTTACTGGCTCAGTAGTGGAAAAGTGACATAAGTTGGCTCAGTCAGACTAAAAAAGAGGGCCCTTATCCCATGACTGTAAGAAAGATAGACCCTTCCAAATTGCATATGAGTTAGGAAGCCTGTGGCTCTAATAGCTCCTGGCAGCTGTTCGACAACCATGAGATGAACCAGTTCAGAATGAAACCGACTTGGTGGATGGCACAATGGAGAATCAGAGAAGAATTGGATAATAAAAGAGAATAAATCTTACATTGTTTAAGCTGCCATCACTTACAGCCAAAAGCCACTGATGACAAGTCTATCAAAAAATGGAAAAAATAAAAGAACAAGAGAGGGAAATCTTTTCTCATGCCAGGTCCAATTCACACTTTGAGTTTCTTCCTGGGTCCTGTAATTACTGAGTTTGTGGCCCCTGTACTAAGCCTCACTGATTGTATAACTAAAGAACTGATGTGAGTTGACTTTTTCCACTTTGTTAGGTATACTTGCAACATATCTCTGCTCCTGAAAGTAATCGTTATCAGTCTCTCCTTTACAGCTAAAACAATCAAATGAATAAATGACCTAATGCATACAGCATTATGTATCTAAGGAGTATCTAAGGAATCGGTAACATTGTCTTACAAAGTATATTTTTGTAGGGAGGCTCTTCACCTTAAGGGCCCTCTGAAAAAGAGGACCTTATTGCAAGGACCCCTGTGGTGTGAACTAGAATTGGAGATGCACCGTTGGCTCAGAAGCACAGGGCTCATCTTTCTCTTGCACTGCCCTGTTCTCTGAGACTCTCACTTAGTGCAGAGCTAAGAGAGATGCTGTTTAAGGCAATGAATTCCAAAACCATCAGAGACAAGCCATTTCAGGGGTTTCCTAACTTCTCTGGTATTTTTCATGGCATTTCTGCCTCTTGTTTCATGTCCCTATAGAGTTGCTCACTCCTTGCTGCCAGACAGTTGCATCTCCTTACAGTTTCAGCTTCCTCAAAACTTTGGTTTGCGAGCAGCCATCATGGTCTTTCTGCGCCATCCATACATCACTCACTTACTCAGTGAACAAGTAACCACTGAACACACACACCACACGGCACGACAACCCAACCCTCACGCTCACAGCCAGTGCTGCTACTTTTCTGGATTTACTAGTTCCCTAGAGACGGACAGACTCTGGAAAGCCCAGCTCATCTTTGTGTGTCAGGCCACAGCATAAGTCACTAGTCATTATAGTCACAGGCCATGTCATAGATCTTTTGACTCTCCTTGGGTACAGAGAGTTGTCACAGATTCTATTTATTTCATGGAGTCACTGTTGCAACAGGTGTCTCTGGCTGCAAATAATCTACGTAGAAGCTTAAAACATAAGAAGTGAAATAAATAAAAACAGAGCCAACCGATGGAATGGAATCAGGTTTCATATTCTTGAGTCCAAACCAAAGCCACGCTAACCTACTTTTAGCATGAACTAATTCAGCCCTCAGAATGACTTGGGTTTTTTATAGAGGATGTGAGAGTGTATGGTCAGGAAGGTGGGTTTTGATTTGACTTTTTTCAAGCACTCACTTTATTTGACCCTGGTAAGTAGCAACCTCTACTTCTTGGGTACTTTTTCTCCTGTGTTTTAAAAATCCACAAGACATCTGCAAAAATCAGGCATTCACCAATGTGGGGGGAGGGAAATAAGTAAGAGAAAATGAACTTCTGCTTCCTTCTATTGCAAGAAATGCAAGATGTTAACAAATGTGCAACCACACCTAACCATCCTACTCTAACTACTACTTTTATAATTTCTTGTAAATAATCTTAATTTATGTTGTGATCATGAAAGAGATACTTGGTAGTTATAAGTATATATGCTTTGTAGGTTGGGCTTTACAGGAAAAATCAATGGAGGAGAATACAAAGGACAACATGTACATAAAATAACAGTGTATGATAATGAAATTATTTACAGTCCGTGGAGAGAAGAGTGGACTGTTCAATAAATTCTGTTGGAAAAAGCAACTAAACGTGGGAAAATTAGGCTTCACATTTTGTTTTTTTCTTTTCTTTTTTTTTTTCCCCCCGGACCAGTAAGGGGATCGCAACCCTCGGCACAGTGTGGTCCGCACCACACTCAACCAGTGAGCGCACCGGCCATCCCTATATAGGATCTGAACCCGCAGCCTTGGCGCTACCAGTGCCACACTCTCCCGAGTGAGCCACGGGGCTGGCCCCTAGGCTTCACATTTTGTACCAACATAAATTCCAGATGGATTAAATGTTAAAATGAAGAAACCAAAAATTTAAAAGCATTAGGAAAAAATATTAGCAAATATAAAATCTTAAGGAGGGGAACGTCTTTCTGAGCCTAACAATAAAAGCAGAAGCCATAAAGGAAAAAGTTAATTGATTTGACTACATAAAGACTTAAAACTTATATATGTATAAAATAGTAATCGTAAGGGCCGGCCTGTGGCTCACTCGGTAGAGTGCGGTGCTGATAACACCAAGGCCACGGGTTC